CAGGAGAGCCTCCTACGTTTAGGCATAAATGTGCATGCAACAGTTAGCTTCTTTAGCTCAGCCTAAAATTTTCTCTGGGGAAACTGAAATAGGACAGTTCATGTAGGCCTTCTCCAGTCTGTCACACTGTTCCAGTATTGTACTATTCTAAATTACTGGAAAATCTTGAGACTTTTTCTTCTTCACTGTCCTTATCCTAATAATGATTCTTATTAGGAGTGAATAGGAAAGCATTCGTTCACATCTGAGTTTTGACAGAAAGAGAGGGTTTTTATACTTGAAATTATTTAGAATTGTGTGTTTTGCTTAAAACTAGCATTCTGCCAGATTGCAGTATAAAATCAGAGTAGAAGATTAACACCTTTTTTTTTTTTCTCCCCTTCCCTCATTAAATTCATGTCCATTTAATGTCCAGGCATTTCAATATAAAAAGAAGGTAATCGTTTTAAGTGTTGAAGATCTCTTTATTGTTGGACTCTTTAATGTCCCTCTCATTTCGCTGCTGTGCATGTGAGGACACGTTTCAGGAGGAAAGCAGGAGCCCTCCACCACTCTGGCCCATTCCTTTGCGAGGGAGATAGTGGCAGGTACAGAAGCAAGCGGGATCCTCCTGGTGACACGAGAGCAAATTCAACAGATGTAGTGTTACTTCTTTGCTTTGTAACCTTTTTCTCCTAATTGTGAGTGTTACCAGCACATTGGCACTTACTAAAGCGCGAGAACGTTCCCTCAACGAGCCACTGTTGAGACCAGCAACGTCTGGAATTCACGCTTTGCTGAGATTAATTTCTTTTAAGACCTCTTACCAGTTAAACAAAACAGACTTTTATTGGGGGATGAGGTAGTGAAATAAGTGTCCTAACTTAGAAATTCAGAATCGGGGAAGACAATCAGTTCTTTCTGTAGTGTGCAGGGATGTTGCAACGTGTAAGCTGTGAAATGTCTGTCTGTAATTTCAGTGTTTGTTATCTAGGTGCAGCAGGACAAGTAGAGGTGTGAATGTATGTCAGTAGGTGGGCTGTAAAACTTTTAGACTTTCAAAAGTGCAAGAAGTAAATGCTAGTGAAGAAGGTTGCGTGGAAAGGTAAGGGATAGTATTGTAATTGTGAGCAATGGAGTTAACTTGTCTTAAGTGTGTGTGAGCAGCAATAGTTTCCCTAAAAGACAGATGCTCAAAACAGGGCAAGGGGTTTGAAATGAAAAGTCCTGAGTGTTCATTAATGATGTATTAACATGGCATTTAGCTGGGCCTCAAATTCATGCCAGTACTTTTACATGAAGTGTAAGGAGCATCTTCTCCCAGGAGTCTGCAGCGTAGTTTGTTACAAGTGATGCCCAGTCTGAGGCTGAAGCTGAGTCTTCAGAAGGCTGAGGTGGGGAGGGACATATTTCAAAGAATTTGCCAGCTCTGTAATTTTGCATTGACAGCCTCTATCTTCATATTAGAACAGCGCATAGCACAAAGGTTCATCCTCCACACCTCCACATCTCAACCCCTGTTTCCATCTCTGGGTGAAGTAATGGGGATTGCAGGTTGTCATCTTTATTTGTGTTTAGCCACGTAGCGACCTCTGTGTCTTCTGAGTTTGCTTGTCATAGGCTTCTAAGGCAAAACTCAGATCTTCAGAGCCCGTAGTTCAGAGTACTGCCCAAGGGATTTGCCCCTCTTAGCCATGCCTTGTTTTAACCACGGGATTGAATTCAAATTTAAGTTATTTTTTAAGGCATTAAGAATGGTAACTTTCAACCATCCTAACTGTGATCCCAGTCTTTAGTCTTGGTTTTCTTCTGCTGAAGTCAAAATCATGCCTTAGTGCGCAGAGTTGTTCTCAACAGATGGCTCAAAGAGCTGAAACGCTGAAAGAAAAGATTCGGTTGACTGTAAGTCTGTGGCCTCATCTAAGCCCTCATAATTGCATCATTCTTTTAGCAGTTATCTAGCATTCCTTTTGCCTTTCACGAAGTTTTTCTTTTATTTCTATAGCTTATCTCAAAAAAAGGAGGATCTTTCTTTTCTTTCTGAATGCCCAGAGATTGATGGCATCCTGGAACTCTTCTAGGAGCAAGGATTA